CAGAACTTTGTCAGCCGTTGTAACAACACAATGCATTGTAGATTTGAATACCCCGTTGTCATAATCATTATTTCCAAGATCATAAAACGAAGTACAGGCCTTCTAGTTATAACTGTCAATAAGCTGGCATGAGTTATTGCAAATTAGGATTCATATTTGTATCACTTCAATACAGCGTTACAACTTACAATGTCTTCGTATGTATTTTCCATGGTCCTCTGTTATTGTTCTTTTATGTAACTCACTGACCACTAATCTTACATAGATAGAGTGCGTCGCGAAATTTCGAAATGACAGTTTCGTCTGCACAGCTGGGTGTTTTCATGCACGCGTCTACCTACGGCGCGTCACAACGTCTACCGTGATTGGTCAATAGTTTCCGTTGCAGGGGGTCGCGGAGTGGCGTAATTTCAATGCACACACAATTTCGTGGACGATCAACATTCTCTCGAACACTAACAGTGATCAATTTCCCTTGTTAAACCTTGTGTACGAATAACCTTCAACATTAACTACGGGCTGGCGCTAAAAATAGCCTCATCGCTCTAAAAATAAGAAACGAAGAACCTTACTACCCATGTAACGGTCGGCAAATGACAAAAATGCCCTAGACTACAGACGTGTCTAGGACAATTATTTACGATGGCAGATTTTAATTAGCCACAATACAAACAACTCATGAAACTATGACAACTGACATTTAGCTTACGAGGAGTGGGCGATCTTACCGTCTCAGATTTTTGTTTGTTTTAAATCTTAGAAAGTGACGGCGATTAATGATTAAGCTACTTCAAATTTGGAGTACCGGCATAATGACTACAACGAAGCAAACTCCGTACCCTTTTCTAGCAAATATCTTTACAGTAACTGAAAAGATATGCTTAGCTCTACTAGAAAGAAAGGAAATCATTTACCATAACTGAGATTAAGATGAAGAAAGCGGAGGTAAGCGCAGCAGACCGAGAGGAAAACAAAATCATAAAGTTCTTTTTGAGGACATTAATAAAGTCTTTTTGGTGGTATTTTACTAAACTTAGAATGGTATGTTGGATTAAGGCATTTCCGCATTCGAATTACATGAACTAAATGGATGTCAACAGTTACAAATTTAGTGCAACGAAAAATAACTGGCGAAAATCATTGTGGTTGGCTAACTTGTATTGCTGTGTTTTCCTTCAAGGGAATCTTGTTTCAGGTCATGAGTTGAGAAAACTAACATGAAAAAAAAAGGTTGGATCACGTCAGTGGCTATAAATCTTATGCTTTTCTCGCACCATATGTTTCATGTTCTCATCCATCTTAACAGAGTCACACGAGGACACTGCCCGTGGCACCAGTCACTTCCACAAACAGCCATACACTTCTTCGATGCTCCCTTTCATCATCTGATTTATTCACACAAACAACGGTCACAACTTTAAAGTGCAGATGAGCAGCGAAATGGGCTAATAGATACCAAGTTGTCAGAAAGCCGCCGGCTCGGGGAAAGTCTTCGCAACTTCGTTCATTAGCGATTATTACGTAACCAACCGCACCGACTATTCGTCAATGCTGTGAACTATTATCGAAGTTATGTCTATGATTTTAATTGAACGAGGCTGGTGATAGGGGCAATTACCAGCCTTAATGGCTGCTTAAGGGAAAGCCGCACTTCCTGGCAATTCATCAATATTAAGCCCCCTACGAAGGGCACTCGTAATGCGTGGGAGGATTTGAGTAAACATGAATGTTTGTACTAATAACCATTTAATTCATCAATCGTTATGAAAAAAAAGAAGTCAGTTATATTAAGGGATTATGCAATATAATGTAATTAACCCTTGTGGCGCGTTTCGAGAAGTTTGTGCGATGACATAAAGGATCTACTTACATCGATTCTCCTTCAGAGTTGTTTATTCCTATTCACAATCAAAAAATGATATTTGTTTACAAGTGTTGGCACACCTGTCTGTCATGTATGTCCTTGGGTATTTGAAAAAAACAAAATAGGCAAGTTGTGAATGTTTCCCCTCTTTCAGTTTGTATTACTATTTTATCAAGCCATTAATTTTGACAGACTCCCAAGGCTTATTACGCAACTTCCAGTGTGCATTTTTAATATGTACAAATTTCGAGATGTCTGAATCCAGAGCATTTAAAAAAAAATCAAAAAAATCATAAATCAATAAATCACTGAAATCCCCAATTTAACTTAATAAATCTGTATATCTATCAATCACACAATGTTCATACACCCATCAGTTAATCAATCTGTTCCGCTCAGGGGGGGGGGGGGGGGGGGGGGGGGGGGGGGGGGGGGGGGGGGTAGTGATCACATTTTTTTTTGGCCCTCGAAAATTTGTAAATTTGCACCCCCCCCCCCCCAAAGGTAAAAAATCACGTGTTTTTACACATTTTTTCCCAGGGGGGAGAGGGCCCCTCTGGATCCACCACTGCCATCATCATCACAACCACCACCAGCTACAATACCACCACCACCACTAACACCATCACTAACGTTTCACTAGGAGCACTTTGGATGGCAAAGTTAATGGTGACCTTATTTACAGGTATGATTACAGTAAATGTTCCTTATCGGGTACGTGAGATCGGACCTCTAGATAGCGCTCTTCTTCAATTATCCCCACCAAAGTGTACCTTTAACGAAATGGACTTTTACCCATTTTTTTTAAATCGAGAAGGAGAGCGTGCTATCCAAACAAGCATCATGCTGTCTGATCGTGGTCAATCTTGACCAGGAAACGGACACCAGTAATGGTCAGAGTAGAATGATATTCAAATGTCGCTTTGGACAGGAAGTGCCTTGATTTGGACGGCATATTGCGCAAAAGTTTGGATTACAACATGTAAACAAGAACGTTTTCAATCATGAAAAGTGTCTATTTAATGCTACTAAAAGGTTCAATGTAGGAAAAAAGTGTTAACTTATATTTATTCAAAATGCGATTGATTCAAATCTTTCCTAATACATTTTTTATTTTAAAATTTTATTTTCCCTTTAATATTTGTTATAATATAACATTTTAAACCACCGAAATATAAAATATACAATATATTGTAACGTTCGAGATTGCGTCGTTTCTTCACTTTCGTACCAAGCTTACTTTATGTAGAGCATAGCCTTAGCTTTTCATCATTATTTCAGTACATAGAATACAGTAACAACCTACCGCTACAGCTACCACCTGTCATTAATATCACTATACCATCACCCGAACAACAGAACCATCTTCACTACCATCATCACATCTTTGGCAACTAGCACAATCACTGAAGCTGACAGCATCACCATTACAACCACCACCTTGACAGCTACTACCAATACTAACACCATCATCATCTTCCTTCCTCAGTTTGTCATCTTCATCTTCATCCCTACTCTACACATTCCCATCTTCAGCATCACACCCTATACCCAAATAGGTGTAGATCTCAAGCTCTTTGTTTATTTCACATGAACCCAATTGAAATCACATCCAATTAAAATGAAAATCACTTCAATCTCATTTTTAGCATTGTATTACCTGTGTTTTACTTCTTACATATTGTATGTTCAGAGCAAGTTGGGCGATAACCTTGTGTTAAAGTATATAAGTTAATGTCCTTCTTGCTCCAAATAGACCTCATGTATTTTGTTATAGCTTCACATTCCAGATAACCCTTGTGCATTTCTAAAACTACAAAACGATAAAATATCAATGCACATCAACAATTTGTCATTTTACATGTATGAGCATTTAATGCACAGAAATATATACATATGTATGTATACACAGAGCAGCAATTTATTACATAGCTTGAAGCCACATCTAACTGCATATTGTGATATAACAAATACAGCAATTGTGACTTTACGATTGATAAGAAGACTTGTAATAAATTTTGATCAATCATGTTTTATAGGACAGGGCCTAGAATTTATCAAAATCGATTTCAAGTCACTGCATGATCCAATGATTAGAGGGTATGTGTGTAATTCAGATATATCACAACTCCTTCTAAGATAGGGGGCCAGGTGCTTTTGATAAACAATAGTAGATTGATTTAATGTATGTAATTAGAGCATGCGTTCATTAACTTCATTTTATAAAGAAACAAAGTTGAACATTAAAAAACATTCAGCAAAGTTGGGGAATCGAAATACACTTCACAAAATGGACAATAACTATTCAACCTGTTGAATACTGGGCAAAAAAATTTGGAACCCAAAATGGCTAAGATTTAGAATAATACTGTATGAGACCAGGAAAGTGAGACTATCCTCAGCCTTCATGCTTCTCTTGGCTTTTAATACTTTACTATCTCTCTCTCTCTCTTCGTCCAAAACCACTCTCTATCTATCTATCTGCCTCTCTGTTTCTTCTTTCAACCCTCTCTCGTCTCCGTTTCTCTCAAATCCTCCTATCGTCATCTTTGCTCTCTCTCTCTCTCTCTCTTCATTCCTTCCTCCATTTCTCTATCCTTACCCCCTTTCTATCTGCCTCTATGTCTCTTCTTTCTTTCTTCTCTCCTCTCTGTTTCTCTCAAAGCTTCCTATCTTTGTCTTGGCTCTCTCTCTCTCTCTTCCAATCCTTCCCTTACATACCCTCTCTCACAGTGATCGATTGGCACCACTACCAAAGTAGCGTCCAGAAGCCAGATAGATTTCCTGACAATTTCTCAAGGCCATAATGAATATAAAACATTTCTCTTTTCAAGTTCACAGGAAAATTGTGGTTAAAATGGGACATCCCAGGTTCCTTAGTACTGCTAAAAAAAAGAATAATTACAAAAGATTTCAAAGTGAAAACTAGGGCTGTCTTTGCACTTTGAATTTAACAGATCTTAAAGGTAAACAAACAATAGTCAGAGGCACTCCTAACATAACTTTGTAGTTGTCCAATGTATTTAATACACTAGAAATTTTAAAGTTAAAACATACCCCTCACCCCCTCCCCCCCCCCCCCCCCCCCCCCCCCCCCCCCCAAAAAAAAAAAAAAAAAAAAAAAAAAATTAAAATAATAATAATAATAAATATACGGTAAATAAATAAATGAATACAAAATGGGGGAAAAAAACTTGTTTCATCCATTTCCATGCATTTGGCCTAATGTATCATAAACCTTGGAATGAGATATCTAAAGCACGTCTTCCATCTACATTTTGTTGCAAGTTGCTTTATCACAATTATGATGTGATGGCTTATCTTTTGTACTGGTTGCTCTCTCTATGACTCTCAGAATGCTGTAATGATTTACATCTGGATTCTTCTTTATATTTTTTTTAAATACAAGTACAGAACAGTTAAGTTGAGCTATGGCATCAACCATTATATCCATTATCCACTGCAATATACATCAGATTAAAGTGTAAATGAAACAACTTTGTTTATCAATAAATGTTTGTAATTCGATAGTTGAAATCACTATCGTCCTTCTTTCTTCTTCTACTAATCAGCCTCTCTTCATTGGCTCTGGGAAAGCACCGATGTAAGACCAACTTTTAGAAATGTCTGTACCTTGGTGCGTCCCAACACTTCTTAACTAATTGCCTACGGGATCCGGTTGGATCCTGTATTGAGGCTATGGGAATGAGAGAATTCAGAAGTGAACAGGCTGAGTGTGTTTGGTGGTTCCAACTATCATATTCAGTGAACAAAAACAACATCTGCATCTTGGTGCACTTGCATTATTACTTAAAATTGAGCTTTTGATGATTAAAGCTATCATCTCCAACAAGCAGAAAAGACTTGCATACTGGTGCAGTTGCAATGCTACATGAAGATAATTTTCACTGAATGGTAACACAGCATCATCATCACCATGGCCTTTCCTCTTTTGTTTCTGCTCCCCTCATTCGTGGTTCTCAGAAGCACGATTGTTGGTTCAACGAATAGAACGTTCAGAATGGCATGGTAATGCAACCTCAAGCTTTCTTAAAGAGAGTCTGTGAAGAACAGTGACGACTTCTTGTCTCTTTCTCTTCTTTTTACCATCATATTCTGTCTATCCTCTTCTGTTTAATGTTTTTTCATCACTAGATCTCAGAAGCACAGCCATGGTTTCTCCTCTGTTTTCCTTCTTTTTACTATAATACTTGCTTTTCTCTTCTGTCTATTACCTTCTATCTTTCTTCTAAAATTTACTATCCTCCCTTCTTGTTTTGGTCATCGGATTTCTTAAACCACAGATACTGAGGGAATCTCTCATGTTGGCATCCTTCACCTTCATTTGTTCTCTTCCCTCTTGTTTTCTATTGCTTCTCTTCTGTTTATTGTCTTCTCTTCACTGGGTCTCAGTAGCAATATTACTGGTTCCTTGTTGAATTTTTGCATTAAAAACACAACGTGAAGCACAGTGACAGTTTATCAGATCTTTCTTCATCTTTTTACTATCATCTTCTCTCTTTTTTCTTCTGTTTACTACCGTCCTCTCTTCTCCTCTTGTTCATCGGATTCCTTGGATCGTAGATGGAGAATGTATCGGCATCTTTCATGTTAGCATCCTTGACCTTGCCATCATGGTCCTCAAACTGGAGACTGTGTACCAACCTGCAGAAACAAAGAAAACAGAAGAGGGAGAGAGAGAGAGAGAGAGAGAGAGAGAGAGAGAGAGAGGGAGAGAAAGAGAGAGAGAGAGATAGAGAGAGGGAGAGAGAGGGAGGGAGGGAGGGAGGGAGAGAGAGAGAGAGACAGAGAGAGAGAGAGAGAGAGAGAATATTATGATTACTATGATAATGATAATTCTGTTGGTTCATGTAAATAAGTGAAGTACAATGGCTCAATGGTAAAGCAGGGGTCATGTGACCAGTAGGTATCAGGTTCAAAACCAGGGTTATGACTTAGTGCCATATGAGAAAGAATTAATCCTCAATTAAATAATATTATTGAGTCCCTCCAAAACAAATTAACAAAAGGAGATCCACTTGTACTTGTACATGTTATCATCTGTTGGAGATAAAGCACATGACTGATACAGGATTCATGGCATTCAAGAGGCCTGTCTTAATCAGACAGAAGTTGCAAAATAACCGCTATTTTCAGACTTGAAATTGCGTCTTCACTAGACCCATACGCTCATCACAAACTAGCACAAATTAGCCCACTTTTTCCCAAATAGCAGGCTATATTGGAAAGAAGACCAAGATTTATCTTTCTGTTAGTTAAAATAGCAGGTTATTTTGCAACTTTGGTCTGATGAGGACAGGCCTAAGTCTTCCTACTTATTCCTACACCTGGGTTGGGAGAGAGAATATAGATGAAATACCATGGTCAAGGACAAAAATTCTGGGCCATGATTCATACTCTCAATCTGCAAATTTCTGTGTTCTATGTAAGGTCAATGAAATGTCTGGAAAAAAAAGCTTGACATATCAAACACTCCACCACCTGAAATCAGTGAAAACATTCTCCATGCCAGGAACTACTTTTGTTATGCCTACTGCTAAACATGATAGCAAAAACATTCAATTTCTACTTCTGTTCTATATATGGGGGAGCACGTGTATGGTTCAGGCAGTTCTTCGAGTTCATCTCACTGTCTCTGCAGATCAAGCCATCGATACTGCTATGTTTTTCTTTCCTTGTTTTCTTTCTACACAAAACTGAGGTGCATTCAACTTGAGTTCCATCACACGAGCACAGTTCTAAGCTAAATAAAAGCAAAATGGTTGAGGTAAGGTTACTATAAAAAAAAACGCTCTCATTTCACAAGCACCACAAGGGGAAGACTTCCTTCCACAGGATGAGTGGTGTAACTTTCACCACAAGCTGTCCCGACCCAGTTTCCTCTTCAAATTCACTGAACAAACTCAGCGTACCAAATTAAAGGGACATTCTTCTTCCTCCTCCCGACTCTGGATCATCGGTTCATGACACTATCTCATTCACCTGTGTTGTTTCCAAACTTTTATCTTGTGTGACCTGTCACGGTCAAAATACAAAATATTTTTGATGATGATGATATCATACCCACACATCCATCATGCCCATGTCCCTTTGTTGAGATAAATCACAGAATATCTTATCTATAAGAGGTAACTTTTATTCATGAAAGTACATTTAACCCTCTTCTCAACCTTACAAGTCAGTAACACAAATGACATCTTCCATTTCGGTTCTAACGAGTGAAAATGGATAGCCAATGCACAGCGATGTTACACAGTTGCTTTGTTAGGGTTTGGAGATAACGATTAATCTTGGGTGTAATGGGGTAGGTGCCAAACGATTGTGGTCTCGTGATGCTGCGTTCCATGGGGGAACATTTGCCCCCATAATGACGTCAAGCCTTTCTCGTACAGGTACAACAATTTGCTAATCTGACTAACATCTACGTTTAATACAAATTAAAATGAGCAGATAACGCATTGAACAAGCCCATCTGTGTCTTACACAAAGAGAGAGAAAGACCTGGGGGGTGTTTCACAAAGACTAAGATCAACTCAAGTTGAGGTTGAACTATGGCAGGCGATTTATGCCCTTAAAAATTCTTGAACCAGATGTAAAATTGGATGAAAGAACCTTATATTATAAATTATGATCTTTAGATTTAAAAAAAATTCAATAATAAAGTATCCAAAAATTTGAATTCTGTAGATTTGTGACGTCCCTTGAGAGACCAATAGTGAGAGCGACCAGTGGCATGAATGGCCTGCCATACTTCAAGTTTAACTAAAGTCGATCTTAGCCTTTGTGAAACACCCCCAAGGTGTGTAAGAGACCTGTAGAAGATGTGTTTAAGATGGATGAAAGAGTAGAATTTCTATAACAATAAACAAAATGTATTGAAATCAAGAATAACTGGCACCATTCCACTTCTGAAGTGGTGGTTCTTTTTTACAAAACAAGCAGAGCTGCAGTACAGTTCATGTGAAAGTACAAAGCCACTATCATCTTAATAAGGATTGTCAGCAAAATCAAAAATGTAAATCATGATTTTTGTTTAAAGGGATAAAGATCAGTGATTTAAATCAATTAAAAAACAACCAAATAGAAAGCAAAAATCATCGATCCTGACTCAAGGCATGGCAAGTTGAGTTCATCCCCTGTAGCATTCCGACAGACAATAGTTTTACCTGCAAACAAAAATTCAAGTGGTTCTGTTCTCCCTCTCCCTTCTCTCTCACCTGCAGGGGAAAAAATACACGGAGGCTCGGGGCAAATTAGCCCCCGAAATGCCAAAAAGAGCCCCTGAAAGTCATAAAAGAGCCCCCAAAATTGCATAGAGTTCAATGCAAAATAAAATAAAGAGTGTTAATTTCATGCAAGCAAGCTTGAAAAGTAACCCCTGAAATGTTTAAAGTATTTTTTTCACTGCTCACCTGAAATCAATCAGAGTCGTAACACTCGATAATTATGCTGTCAGACAGCAAATCAATTAGTAGACTTAAGAAGGCCATGGTCCTACATGGCATCAGGAAATTGCAGTTAGGAGAAGCAGACCTAACCTAGAACTTAGGCTTGTCTACCTGTCAAGGTCATGAGGTCAATGAACTTATGACCCTAAATAGAAAACAACAACACAGAGGTGTTTTGGTTGGGTTCATTGACTGGTACATCTTCGCTTCTGCTCTTTGGATATAGGTTGATACTTAATTGTCACTACAACGTGCCCTTAATTACAAGCTGTCTTTCGAGAGACAGACAGGTATTAACTAAAATTGTAAGTTAACATCTTTCTGGCTAACAACGGATGATTATTGATCTTATTGCCTAAACTTACTCAAATGTTGCATAGATATACAACTGTATTGTTTTTAAAAATAATGGAGACTCTCCTAAGTGAAATTTTAAAAAAGAAAGAAAAAAAGAAAGGAAAAAAAGAAAGGAAAAAAAGCAAGACAAAATAGAGTGATTAAAATACACATACACGACAGTACCGGTAATCAAATGCATGTATACCTTTTTTAATAAACTCACTTGAAAACTGTAGAATTAGTTGGTGCTAAAATTATTAAGAAACAACTGGATATAATTTAATGAAGTAACGAGTTATATTAATGTATTCATGGCAAGGACATCATCCCCGGGCCCCCCCCCCCAAAAAAAAAGAGAGTCATGTACCCCTACACATCATGTTTATCAAATGAGCAAACTTTAATTTGAATTCCAAGAAAAGTTTGTTCCGCAAACTTCCAGCAAAGAATTGATTACAAGGCTAACAAACTGTAAAACAAGTCATGCATTCATGTTTATACTTCATTTGCATAGTACAGGTATGATAAATAGATAAGAACTAAAAAAGTCCAACATGGGTAATGACACCCTTCCCTTCAAAATTGTGTTTCATTGTTTGTCTGTGGGAACATTTTGTTGGTGTTTGAAAGTATTTTCTCATGATGACACGCAAGTTGTAAGGAAATGCAAAACGGGGCAAGTAAACACCCAAACGCAGGGTAATACTTTGCAGATTACGAGCGTTTTTAAAATGCGGTATACTAATTACTAAACATCAAACATTTTAATGACTTCCAAATTAGAAGACTTTCCAGGCCACATTTCCTTTTCATCACTGAACTGTAGTTTGCAAGGAATCTCTTGCAAACAGTATATAGTACACAAGTCACTAGGTGCCAACTATAACACTGTACAACTGATTTCTGGAACTGAATGAATATTCCTAGGTATTCCCGGGCCCTGAACCTTTCAGTCAAGGTATATTACTTTATCAAGGTCTTACAGTGTACATTATGTATAGGATGTCAATTGACTTCACCAAAACCCAGGCACTTCAGAGGTCGAAACATATTTTACCAAGGGATGAAATTTGTAAACCATTTTGGGGTCAGAATCTCAGCAATAAAATGATTGTTTGTTTCTCCTGATAGAGTAAATATTGTAATGTAGCACAGTTTCTACATTGTAAGTAAAAGATGCACAAAAGTGGATATTTAATTGTAGAAAACTGTTTTCTTCATATGCATTATTGCATTACATAACGGTACATGTCTTCATCCCCAAAATCAGTAGTCTCCACATGCAAAATACAATACATTACAATTATGGCTGAACGTGAAAACAAAGACGTTTATTAATTATATACAAGTATTCTTTATGAACAGGTTACGTAAGAACAAATTTAAAGAGAGACCCAACTCAGGGAGGGGGGGGGGGGGGGGGGAGGTATCCTTCTATATCCTACAGGTGCTAGGTGGAGCAACAATATATATATATCTATTTTTAAACACAGAATGAAAAATGAGAGAATAAAAAAGTACATGTACTTCATGAGGTCAACTGGTGCCAGTTTAAAAAATAAGATAAATATAGAAGAATATATATTCATGACGTGAACTGATGTTGGATTTCCAAGTCTAACAATCAAGAAAAACGAAAGATTCCAACCAGGGATAGTCTGACTTATGGAAAGATGAATGTAACGCTATCCACGATACTAGTCTAATATTCCAAGTAACTATATATAATCACTGTGTTGACAGAAGATCTTGAGCTTCGATGAAAGCTACCATACTTTGGGCTTTTGCACTTTTGCCCTAAAAGTGTAATAGCTGGTCCTTGTTACGTAGTTGGTAGAGTCTGATGTCAATATGACT